TATAGGGGTCAAATAATATTCTATCCCTTGTACCCCAACAAATCCTAGGTCTCTCCTATTGGTCCATATCCCATATAATCATAACCTAGTCACTACACAATGTCAATACCTAAGTATAATCATAACCTAGTCACTATACAATGTCAATACCTAAGTAAAATCATAACCTAGTCACTATACAAAGTCAATACCTAAGTTTGAGTCTGAATATCATTAATGATACCCAGTTCACTCAAACCACAGCTCTGATACCATATATGTAACATCTGCCATGAGCAAACCCCAAATTACCAATTCCTATAAAATCTCCAATATAATATAATTTATTGATTATTGGGACCAAAATTGATCCTAAATTATTGTAAAAGTTTTGTCAAAGCCATCTGAACCAAGGATGGAAAATCTGAAAATGCTGCTAAAAAAAACTACGTCTGGAGGAAGACTAGAGGCAATGGTTGGACCAGAGGCAATGGTTGGACCAGAGGCAATGGTTGGACCAGAGGCAATGGTTGGACCAAAGGCAATGGTCCAGAGGCTGCTGAAATGGCTAAGTCTGGAAGAAGACCAGAGGCCATGAAGGACTAGAGGTGAGACTATGAAGGACTAGAGGCAATGGTTGGACCAGAGGCCATGAAGGACCAGAGGCAATGGTCCAGAGACTAACACCTTGAAACACAYAAATCTGGGCATAACATTAATTAACCTCAAAATATGGGATATTAATTTCTAGAAAAACATCGAAATATCCATTCTATTTTAGTGATAAAACCACCCAAAACACGATTCCAAATCGAATATAATGAATTTTTACTTACAAGCCAAATTATGTAACCAAAAGAATACGGGACAAGACTATATACATAAGCTACTATTTACCCAAAAACAAGATCGATATCTTCAAGTTCCCCGATAAATCTTCAAGTCAGACAACGGGTTCTTTCTATTTATCCGTCTTCTTTCCTGAGAAAGGTTGCCACTTAAATGGTAAGCCAACGCTTAGTGAGTTAAATAGTTAAGTATTACATATCAATATCACAACTGCAGAGAGTCTCACCCGTCCAACCCAGGATCTTGACTTCGCCATCAACTWCCGGTGTACCACACGAAGTAGTACCCGTATTATGGCATACAATTCAAGGAACAAGACAACGAGTCCGGATCCAGAAAGCAAACCGATATACCGAGATAGTAATATGGAATTAACTCAAGAGACGGAATCAAAGATAAATCAAGATCGTGTGACTCCATTCAAAACCAAAATTTATATAAAAATATATATGTTCAAATCAATATGTAACAAATAACTATATAACTCACTGGGCAACCATATAATACCGAAAAGCTCCGAATTGAGCTCACAAAGCAAGTCCAATCTACCACACTTAGATTGCTTCCAAAGTATCAAAACAGTCTTAATTACCCCTTGGAGTAAATGTACAAAATCTCATAAGCAACCAATATAAGAAACTCATGATATACACATATCCTATTTGAACATTTTACCTAAATTTCTATGTATAGCTACTGCATGCAGAACTGTTTTGCCCATTCTAAGCTAGAAATCATGCCTTGATCATAAAATAAGAAATAAACTAGAGTCAAATATCTAAATAAGGAAATTGGCTTCACCTCATTTGGATTTTTCTACGATTTTATACAGAATTTCAAATCTGCACACTTTCAATGCATTCAAAAGTCGAAAATTCTCATTTTCATACATTTTCCTCAAACCATTTCTATTCCAAACCATTCCAACTTCTGAATCTCAACTTAATATAACATATTTGACATAAACAACCAAAATCCAACCTTTATTTTATCATTTATATTATCTCTCAAATCATTGACTTAATCAAGTCAAAGTTCGTATGATGAACTTGCATAAATCTTGATAATCTCTTGAATCTAATGACCATTTCATGCCATAAATACTAAAAAGCACTCATTTTATACACTTAAGATCAAACCCATATGAAACCCTAACTCTATCTCAACATGCAATCCATAAAACAAGAATGTCAACCAAGAACAAGTGCAAAA